CATTGCTTGCTCTTAAGTTTTAAAAATTAATATTTTACAAATTTTACAAGAGCACAGAGCAGCAAGGGCGTGCTGTTTTGAATTTCTCATATGCAACCAGAGTCAGCAAATGATAGTATCAGTACTAGAAATCTGTCTTTAAGGTGATCTGGGAGCTACAAGCAGTACCCAAGTCTCACTTCTATACTACAGCCCCTTAAGTAACTGCTGCGGTCTAGGAACGCAACAGTGAAAGCAAGCCAGCATCCCCAACCCCTACCCTATAGTCTGGCATTTCAGACGTCGCTGCTCTTCGCATATATTCAAGGCAGCTCCACAAACGCTAAAGGTCTCCTCCTTTGTACCCTTTAAATCATAATATATTAAATGTTTGTTGATTATTTGATTCACTTAAATAATAGGCACATAAAACAATCTCACTGGCCTCTAGAATGCTCCAGAGAAACTGCAAAGCTAGAGGCCATTTTCTGACACTAACAGGTAAAAGCATCGAATAAAGCTATACCTCTGAAGGAAACTTTAAAAGGTTGTAACAAGCCACGATGGGACACTGAGTGTGCTGAACACAGGAATCGCAAAGTAAAAACACTTCCCTGTGCACAAACGTAAATGCCCTTGAGATTCCCTCAGCCTACGATTTTTCTCATCCAATAATATTATAGTACTATTTCCCTTCCTTATATGTTGTCATGGGTCACTGTCAGTGGAGAAAACGCCAAAACTTAGAGTTCTTCTTTCCTTTTTTCAATTTAGAGTAATTTTTCCTTGCTAGTTTTGCAGACACAGAATTACAATATTACAAGGGCAAATATTTGCTGTTCCACATACAGCATTACTACTTATGTGGATTTCTTCCCAGCAGCTGGAAGGAAATATTTTTCTTGTCCAGACTGAAATATTCAATGGTTAAGAAATAAAGAGCTAGGAAAAGCTGAACACAAGGCTTTAGAAATACAAGGGCGCAAGACCTAACCCCTAAGAAAATTCCACTGGACATAAAGTTACAATAATTTAGATCTGTTCATTTATGGTAAGTCAGCCATTTTACTGTTGACCTACTTTGTATCAGCAATAATTTGTCACAGTGCATTCTCCAACTGCAACTGAAGGAAAGGTTGAAACCATACATTAAGAGCATAGTGTCAAAGCAACTGATGTTAATTATACCCTGCAGTTCCTATGTTGATGAAATTGTCACTGCTAACCATTAATACAGCATTTACTGTCTAAGCCTGACTTGCTCTACCAACCCTTGAAAGCCACTGAATTAACATCCTGCTTCACAATGTTCACTCTATGCCACACTGGAATGTAAATGTGAAACATGTAAAAATAACCTCTGCTATTACACCAAGAATGTGTAAATATACATTCCTTTTTAGGCGAGCTATTTATCTCCAGTCTATACCATGTTTCACTCTTTAAACTAAAAACACCTTTAATGTTCTTCAGTCAAGTGGCAACTTTTGCCAATATAAACTATTTTTGCTAAAAATTATGGCATCAATTAGAGGAAACTTTGGAAAATGTAGAGTGCTACTTGATTTATGGAAATTCAGAAATAAGCTTTACACAGATACACAGAAAAGCAGCAATGTTCTTCATGTGATTCATTGCTAGCCAGTGCAGTAACAAGAGATCATATTCCAAGAGTGCAAGTTAGCAAGGCAAATTAGAAGGACACCTTATGTGGATTTGGTGTCCACATTCAGTGACACCTGCTTAATTTGGTGACAAAAAATGTTTACAAGCATCAGTGCAAACTAAGCACTCTAGAAACGCTATTCTCTGGATTCTTTGTTTTGCACATCAGTAAACTGTTTTGTAAGGTCCTACCACAGTACAGCTCCCTCTGTTTCCAAATTATGGGGTTACTCTCTTTTGCCCATTTAAATTGAAGGCAGTTGAGACTACAGAGGTTTAACAATATTTAGCCTTCGGAACAATCGCCACCAGCTATAACAAGAGACAGCGCAACCTGACCTTCTGATCCAAGAAGAATCTCTTTAGTAATGACGTAAAGAGACACTTTTTATCCTATTGATTCAATAAGAAATCATAAGGATATAACTAAAGCAGAAGCCAGTGATGATGTTTTCATATCAGAACAGCACTTCTCATAGTTTATTTCCCAGTTCTCAGGTAGACTGATAGAACAAAGCAGTTACAAAAAAGTCCTATGGCATGATGAGGACTTTCATATAGATCGCCTAGAAATCCTCCAAGTCAGCAGAAAAATAGAAAACTAAGATCAATAATACTAGTAACTGAACAAAAGCTTTTACATCTCTATTCAGATCCAAGAATGACCTTAAGACCTGCTGGTCTCAGTGACTGCTTAAGCCAGAGTTATGTCTCCGGACTAATCAGGAAAAAGAAAAACAATTACAAAAGACTAGAAGGACAGAGATTCTTACACGATACATATAATACAATTCTCTATAGGAGCATCATTGCCAGACATAAAACACCAAAAGTAATCTCAGGTGTGTAGGATCTCACACAAGCCACAGCAAGGCAACATGCTGTAAGAGCCAGAAACATTTGCTCACCTGGCATAAACTGGAAGGCAATCGTACACTTCATAAAGACATTCACTGAATGGTCAACAAGTTTCAGCAGAGTACAAAATAAATCTAAGAAAAGCTCTAATACTGAAGTTGTGCACAGCCAAGGGCACCCTCAGAACACCCACAGAGCAACAGAATTATTCAGTGCTTCACCAAGAAGGTCAAACTAATTTAACCTGTACCTGGCAAGCAGGTCTTGAATATGCTCCCATTTAATAACTCTGTTAAAATATAAGCCTTGCTGGTGTCATAAAGACACCTTAAACAAACGACAGACATTTAGCTTAGTGCACTGTTTGTTCTACCTGCACCAAAGCAGAGGCTTGGCAACAGGATTCTCTTACAATCTTACCCCGTTTCTCTCAGGAGTTCTCCCTATGCCCTGCTGCCACAGTATGCTAAGTATTTTTAAAATCAGACAAGAGCACATTGTGTACACACTGGGGTATATTTAAAAATCCAGCTGGAAAAAATTCCAACAACTGAGGCTCAGGTTGTACCAATTAGCAGTTACAGCTGCAGTTACAAATTATGTCATGAATGAAAGCACCCTACCGTAAAAGGACTAAAATGTTAACCATCTAAGAGAGCACGCTCACTCTTAGTTCAGCGTCACATGCCAGCCTCACAGATGGAACACGTACTGGCCTGCAAAGCTATGCCCAACTTATCGAAAAGAAAGTGTCTACAGTTGATGCTTTCATAATTTGCATAGTTCATGTCAAAGATCAACTATATAGCTACCCTTTCTGCTGTTCTTACTGTGTAGCAGAAACAACCATAAGCAGCACCATTATACACCAAGCACAGCTTTGTTGGCAGCACAGGCAACAAAAGTGTAATGTAGCTTTACAGGCAGCCAAGCTCAATTTTTTTTTTATTATTTCCATTCAGACATACTATATGTTGCTTATGGAGATGTACTGAAGCAATAGAAATACCCCGAAACGCTTCTGTTGCATTAACATCTCTTGCTTAAAAATTTAGTTGAAAGCAATGACTTACAGAAAGTGCAATTTTTTTAATATGAAGCTAAACTTTGACTCTGCCAAAGAGTAGCACACAAATAGTTTAAAGCTTGCTCATTCTGAAGCTGTGATAATAAATCTATTATTCTTCGATTCAGATAATGAGCAAGCTCTTTAAAATTCATTGTTTCTGTAACATTTATACAACACCTTACTCCAGAAAGCAATGCTGCTACACAGTATCATGGCAGATGCACTAGCAGTACTTGGGGGGAAAAAAAAGTGCTGAATGTTGAAGTATTTATTTTACCATGATCTGCACATACATTTGCAAAACTGAACTTTCAAAAGAACTGCTGGGGAAGAAATTAGTTAAAAAAAAGGGGGGGGGGGGGGTTTAGTTTTTTTCCTT